CGGTTGGGAACAACCAACTCTGCCCGACAACTTAGAGAATTGCGATCTGCAATAGAGAATGAGTATCCGGTTTCTTGGGACGTCATCCAGGCACTCGAGGAGCAGCTCACAATGGCCTAGAAACAAAGGGTAATATATTGGAAAGAGAAATCAGAACCTAATCGAGATACTGAAGGATGATAAAGGGGATTGAGGAACAAGACAAAGGGGACGTGGCTGTGAGCTACTACCAACATTTCTTCTTATCAAATGGGAGCCCACCTTTCTCATAGTGAATTCCATGGCTTACCTCAAAAGGTCACGGCGGCCCACAATGCTCTCTTGACGGCAGTGTTTCGAGAATGGAGATCCAACAAGCTACTTTCCGCATTGGTCCTACCCAAGCTCAAGGCTTGGATGCATTCACTCGAGCATTCTTCCAAGGCTTTTGGGATGTGATTGGCTATTTAGTGTATTCTGCAGCAATATCCTTTTTTCAATATGACTGATTATTACATAATTTTAATCATACCCAAATCAATTTGCTTCCTAAAGTGCCTAATGTTGTCTTCATTAAACAGATGGGACCGATTGGTTTGTGTCGGTTCTTTTACAAGGTCATAACTAAAGTATTGTCTTCCAGATTTAACCGCATTCTAACAGAGATCATCAGTGAGGCTCAAAATGGCTTTGTGAAAGGTCGGAATATCAGTGCCAACATTATGACAACACAAGAGGTTATGCAGTTCCGCAAGACTAAGTCTCAGGGTCGTGATATGTAGATGGCATTGAAGCTGTATATGGAGAAAGCATATGATTGAGTCGAACGGAGTTTTCACTTCGTGATAATGGAGTCCTTGGTATTTGGAACTCAGTGGAGTAAATGGATCAAGGCATGTGTGACAACTAAAACCTTTTCAGAAACATGGTTGCTTCCGCCGTCAGCGAGGCATTCGTCAAGGTGATCCGTTGTCACCTCTAATCCTGGCCATTTACACTGAGGCTTTCTCAGCAATGATCAGCACGACGTTGGAAACTCAACTCCTTGGACTTAAAACTCATAGATTAGCTCCGAGAATGTCTCAGTTGTTGTTTTCATATGATACCTACTTGTTCCTCCAGGCTTAATCTTCTGAATGCTCCAAACTACTCCACCTCCTTCACACTATGAGGAAGCTAGTGGACAACGAGTTACTTTACAGAATTCCCCAGTGTGTTTTGATGCTATTATTGACCCATAGGAGGCCACTGTGCTGGCTGCAATGTTGGGGATGTCATCCATAAGAGATTTGGATAGGTACTCAGGCCTTTCTGCCAGAGTTTAGTGGTCCAAAGTCTTAACATTCAGATTTATCGAAAATGCCTTGGCTGCTTGTATCCAGAGTTTGTGTACAAAGGCACTTTCCCTTGCACCCAAGGAGGTAGTGATTAAAGTCGTTGAATCACCCACTCCTATTTATGCCATGTTATCATTTCGGCTACCCTCTACGACCCACAAAAGAATGAACAACCAGCTCTCCCATTCTTGGTGGGCGGGCAGGACAAAGATGTTAGAATACACTGGATTGCTTGGCCAATAGTATGTATCAGCAAGTTTCACGGTGGTTTAGACTTTGACGATTTTGATTTGTTTAACGTGGCCATTTTAGCAAAACAAGCTTGGAAAGTTCCTCAAAACCCTCGATCAACCTTTGCTCAGATATAAAAATCGTGATACCATCCCAGGTGTAAATTTTTGTCGGCTCCAATGGGTACTCACCCTTCTTGGGCGTGGCAAGGGGTCCTTTAGCCCAGGGAACTACTCAGGCGAGGTCTCCAGTGGCAAGTGGATTATGGGACAACAATTGACATTCTCTCAGATCCATGGCTGCCTTCCTCTCCGCCCTCTTCTCTAGTGCTGCTAACAACTGTTATCCTTCCTAACCCTTGCGTAGCTTTGCTGATTTATCCCTTTGCTTCTACTTGAAACTTAGACTTATTGCGTGATTTATTCACTAGTAGCAGTGTGCATTGGATGTTTGATATCCCTCTCCCCCACCCCCTAACCGAATCGATTAATCTGGCACTATTCTAGTACAGGGCAATACACAATCAAATCCGATTATCAACTTTACTCAACTAATGTATCTTGTCTGCGTGGTGGATTACTTTTAAGGTTTGATCGGGCAATGCATCAAAATTGGAGGGCATCATTGGCTTTGTAGGTTTTAACAATGACTCATCACTGGTATGCGCGTTTGGCAAGGCATACCCAAGTTTGATGGATCCTTTCATATGGAACTTTTAAAATTGGGAGATGCTATGGTATGGAGCTTAAACCGGGACATTAATGTTGTTTATTTCTGTGGTGATTCACGTCGAGCATTGGAGACTAATACACACCATGAACGTGGGGGAGTGTTGCTCAAAGAAGTTTGGTTGCTGAAGTCTTCATTCTCTTTAGTTATTTTGTTTATGCTCCTTGTAGTACTAACATGCCTTCCCATTTTGTAACAAAATAGGCCATTGCATCGGTAGCTCAACACTTGGTTGGCAATTGTTATTTACTTTTCAACTTATCGTAATCTCTTGTCTATTTTCGACCTATCTATGACACAAAAAAGTATGAATGTTACATATGTATGTTATTTGTTTGAGTCAAGTATAAACTTTGGATGTTTGCGTTAAATGTTGCATTTAAATATAAGATTTTTTCATTTTGTTTGGAATATTGTATTTTATTTAGGGTTAACATCAATTATTAGAAAACATTTTCTACATTCTTTTTTATTAGGCAAACCTATTGAATTACTAATAATTAGCCAAATGTTAACTTTCAGTTTGCAATTTTGTTAGTAATATTTACTTGGCAACATGATAGTGACTTGGAAAGAGACACGTGGATGTTAACATTCCAAAACTTTAGAATTTTAACTAAGAAAAGAGTTACAAAATTATTAAGTATAACAAATAATGGCTAATATTTTGATATATTACAAAAGATTGGCTAATTATTAGTGATTCAATTGGTTTGGCTCATAAAAAAGAACGTGAAAAAGGTTTAACTGATAATTAGTGTTAACCCTTTTATTTAAATATGATGCGGATTTTACAGAGATTGTTTTCAAATATGTTATACATATTCCTTAAGGGGTCGTTTGGATGAGAAATTGTAACGGATCAATTTGACACAATTGTCTCGTTTTGAGACAATTGTACCAAATTGCCTCGTTTGCCAGCAAAAAAATTGGATGGATCAATCTACCTGAGGTATTTTGAATTGATCCATTTTGAGTCAATTTCAGTTACCTGGGGTGGGGGCAGGTAATTCGAATTGACTCGTTTTAATTGTCTCGTTTATATAACGAGACAATTGATCAAATTGACTCATTTCTAAATTGATCCATCCAAACGACCCTTAAGTTCATTTAGTATAAATCAGTGTCCCTCTTCCTTGCACATTTTGCTATAACCGACATGAATTGTCATCTAGTCCATATCTTGAGCTTCTGGTGTCAAAATCTATCTCTATCTGGTCCCTATGTGATCAATAGTCATCTTGATTGGTTTATAACCTTGAAAAGCATAAAACAACACCATAGAGGCATCAAACAGTAAATAAATACACACTCATAAGCACATTATTCTAATAGTTAACAATTTCATATGAAATATAGTCAAAATCACTAAAGATGCATCGGTCAAATTCGTGAGTTAATGTGAGGAAGAAGAAGAAGGGTGCCATCTCTTTTATAGGTGAGCGGTGGGTGGGCATCGGTCGGCACTGCCACCTATTTCCTTTTCGGATATGAACTTTTGCAAGTCCTAGTGCTCGTAGGAAACGGAGATGGGGCGGTGGGTGGTAGCGGCGGTTCAGACAGCCACCCATTTTCTTCTTGGAAACAGGTTGGTTTGAATCATATTTCATATAGGAGAAGGAAAATTAGCTTTGGTTAGGTATATTTCTAGCGGCAGTGGTGCATTGGTTGGAACTGTTGCTGCTTTTCCTTCTCCATTTATGAGTTTGTTCTCCATATTTTTGAGGGATTTGTCAATTTCAACATCCTTTGATCTCGTTGCTCCATTACTCCCTTTATTTTCCTATGGATTAAAAAAAAACAAGCAAAAAATTTGAGAGAAAGCAAGTTCTTCTCCTTCTCAACATGAATATGAAAATAAAGCATAAAAAAATCAATCATCAATTCACACCACATCTATCCCTATACAGACATCTCGTAGCAAACAATTCCAGTTTTAGGTCTTTCCCGCAGTTTAAAGTATGGGCTCTCTCTTCTATGAGCTAAGTATGTGAAACTTTCTAGAATAAGCATTGATTAGAATAGTCCAACTCATGGTAGAATTATATAAACTCATAAGGAACTGAAGCACATAATAGCAGGAAGTATTCAAGCTCATAAAGGTAGAATTTAGATGGACCATCCATCTTATTAAGACATTGAAGCACATAGGTTGATAGAAAAAGGTTAAGCTCATAAAAGGTGATAGATGACACTACCATTTATTATAATCATGCAAGCATTGATTAAGCATAAGTCACACAATCTGGTATTTTTACTCATAAAAGCTCGTCATTCGTACTACTTTGAATTTGTTTGACATAAATATCAATGTCAAATTTTGATTCAATCAAGATCAAAGCCTCCTAGATCATATATGAGGTTTGTGGGTACTTACCTTGATACTATGAGCATATCTAAAGAGGAAAGAACATGATGCAGATGATGATGATAAAAAGAATGAAATCTGGGTTGTCTCCTCAGTAGAACTTTCATTTTGCATCATTAAGTTGGATGTCCGACATGAGTTGCCTCCTATGAAGCGCTCTTTCTTTTATGCCTTTGAGCTAGGCATAACTTCTTATCCTTCAAAGTCTTAAACTTAAGGCTTTCTTGAAGTCCATTTTCTTTATTGCAGGCTGCAAGTGTATACAATACTTCTTCTTTTGGCTTGATAGTGGATCATGAAGCAATACCCACCTGATGACTTGATATATACACATGTTTTTGTCCACCATTCCTCTACCGTTTGAGTCCCATCTCTTGTGTTTTAGGCCGATTTCAGGCTAGGTTGTTCGTGTTTGTGATATTCAGCTCCTAGTACGTGAAGGAAGGTTCGGGCACGAGTTCGGGGTCGATTGGACGAAGTTGGAACGATTGACAGAAAGCTCTAGCAAACCACAGGGCCAGACCTAAACACCACACGGCCGTGTGACGTGGCCGTGTGGAACCATTTTGTCGCGCAAGTCACACTGGCCGTGTAAACGGTCCTTTGTGACTGTGTGGAAATCCCAGAGAGATCACACGGGCAGGCAGAGATTTTACACGGCCGTACGGCTGTGGCCGTGTAGCGTGCATGAAGGCACATAAGTGAAACACGACATTTTATACCTCCATACGGGCAGCTGGAAATTCTACACGGCCGTGTGGCCTGGCCGTGCAGTCGGGGAATTTTGGGTTTTAACCCAATTTCGGGATTTTTGAGAGGGGGATCAATTTTCAGAGCTAGAAACAGAGTCCTAGAGAGAGAAAGTGCGAAGAACACTCCCTAGAGGTGATTTTGGAGCTGGGTTTCATCAATCAAGCTTGGATTTCATCCTTGGAATGAAGATTATCATCCTAGAGCAGATTCTTCCCATCATGATGAGTATGGCTGCTTTGTATTCTGTTTCTCTCTCTCTCTCTCTCTCTCTCTCTCTCTCTGTGGAGTAGAACCCTCTCTCACTTGGGTATGAAGAACCCTAGTTCCATCTGTTAGGGATATCGATTGTAATGAAGTTTGGATTGTGATACTGCTTGATTATAATTGATTGAAGTGTTGTGATTGAGTCAATTGAAGTCTGGTCATCTTTTATTGATTTCTGCTGCAACCTTAGATGGATAGAATCTAATTAGGTTGTTAGAGCTCCTTCAATCGGTAGTAGTGAATCAATTATAAGAGAGTTAGTCGATTCACTGCTTTGTACTGGAAACCAATTCCATTAGTGGAGTTCTATGTTAACTGCCTCAGCGTTCTATGTCAGTGAAGACTAGTCGTCTGCCGGGTAGTCTTTCTGAGAGGGCTTGGTCAGTGTAAGAGATTCCAAGCTACTGTTAGATCTTCCGCAGTTTAATGAACAATAAATCAACCAAAGGTAATTACAACTTTGACCTAACTAAGGAGCTAGGGGGACTCATTCCCGAGTGACTCTTCCCTTGCTTAAGAACTTCGAACCATTTCCTGCTTTCTTACTATTTTAGCTTGAAATCACATTCACTCAACTTAGTCTGTTAGATAATGGATAATCACGGAGTAGGCAGTAGATCTAGACCTCGGGTTGATAAATAGAACATGCCACTATTCTGCATTTTCGGACTGCGATTACACTTATTCGTAGTTTGGTGTTGTGTTTTAGGGTGTCAAGTTTTTGGCGACGTTGCTGTGGACTTCTAGGTTATTGTGAAAATGTGAAAGTTTGTTATTCTAGCTTTTTCTTTACTGCATTCTCTCTCTTCCACCTTAGTGCCTTCATGGGTTGTGCTTGCATTCTGTGTGCAGGTAGTGCATGACCCGTAGCCAGTCAGGAGACTTACTGCCATTAGACCAAGAGCTTGAACGGACTTGTAGGAACTTCAAGCGGGCTTTAAAGGCGCGACTGGCTGAGGGAGGCTCTAGCCCAGCTACAGATCAACCAGGAGGAAGACATCAGTGAGCCTCAAAACAATGATGTGGTTGTCCGCGATGAGCACACCATGGGGTATTACTGGACCGCCAAAGCCGCGAACATGAGGTCTCCCATCCAGCACCCTCAAGTTCAGCCAATAACTTCGAGGTGAGCACCTCTGTCATCACCATGCTCCGCGGATCGGTGGTATTTCATGGAAAAGAGGGGGAGTGCCTCGGATCGCATGTGCGGCGATTCCATGAGCTCATCGATGTGATCAAGATAAATGGTGTCCCAGCCGATGCCATCCAGCTGAGGTACTTCCCATTCAATCTGGAGGGGCAGGCCAAGGAGTGGCTGGACACTCGGCCTCCAGAATCGATCACCATGTTCGCCAACCTGGTGGACAAGTTCCTCACCCGCTATCATCCTCCGTCCAAGATGGCGGACCTGCAGAAGCAGATCACCCACTTTGCCCAGGAGGAAGATGAAACCATTCAGGACGCTGAGGAAAGATACACCAGTATTTCCTGAAGTGTCCCAATTATGGGTTTAATGACGCCTTCAAGGTGGGCACTTTCTACCACGCCCTCTTCCAAAAAGATAAGCAGCTGATTGACACGGTCTGCGGCGGGGACATGCTAACCAAGACCCCACCGCAGCTGAATCGACTCTTTGAAGAGATGGCAGAGCAGGGATAGGATTGGGGAAATTCTAGGAGATCGAGACGAGCATCAGGTCGAGGTGTGCATGCTATGGCCACCCCGTCGTCTGAGTTAGTGCAAGTGGTATCTAAGCTTGTCTCAACCATTGCCAGTGGTACGAAAGCTCCCATCACACTGTGGAAGACTGTCAGGCGATGAGGGAGTCGACTACTACAACAACACTTATTACGAGGGGTGGCTCCATCATCCCAACTTCTCCTAGAAGAGTGGCTCCTCGACCACCAGCCTCCTAGGGACCACCAGGCTTTTAGAGGCCTCCTTACCAGCCAAGACAAGAGCAATTCCAGCAACAGCAGTAATCACTTTATCCGGCCAGGCAGCGGCCAACTCATCCTTAGTCACAGATGAGGCCATTTTAGCTTCCCGGTGAAGCCCCCACAGCCCCAGTACAGAGCGACCCTATGGCCGATTTGCGAGATCTGGTGGGTTCTCTGGTCACCTCAAGTGTGAATAAGTTCAGCAACATCGAGCAGCAGTTCATGGAGAAAGCTCCAGGTAAATTCTTGGAGCTAGAAGCTGGCCAGAGAAACACGCAGCTGTGTTGCGTGATATCAAGACCCAACTCGAGAGTGTGGCCCAGGATGTAGCACAGAGGGCTCCGGGTACCTTACCCGAGGAGACCATTCCCCATCTGCAGGACCCAAATGAACACTGCCAGGCCATTACTGCCATGAGTGGCAAAGTGACTGCGGATCCACCTGTCCGGGCACGACATGAGAGATAGACCACTACTTCAGCACTTCCAGCTAATGAAGAAGAAAATTGGGAAGGAGGTTGAGGTGCCTACTCCTGAGCCGCAACCAGTGGTGAAGGATTATGTCCCTCAGCTCCCCTTTCCTACTCGATTGCACAAAGACCGACTGGAGACTGAGTTTGCCAAATTCATGGCAATTCTGAAGCAGGTAAACATCAGTACGCCTTTCGTGGAGACATTGTTGAAGATGCCCAAGTATGCTAAGTTCATGAAAGATCTCCTCACCAACAAGAGGAAGCTTGGGGAGCTATCGACGATGATGCTCAACGAGGAGTGTTCTGGCATCCTGCAGAACAAGCTACGAGAGAAGCGCAAAGACCCAGGGAGTTTCACTATCCCTTGCATAATTGGTAGTTTGCTTGTAGGAAAGTCCTTGCGGATTTAGGCGCTAGCATAAACGTAATGCCATATAAACTGTTTAAAAATCTAGGCCTAGGTGAACCCAGTAATACTAGGATGAGCATTCAACTTACTGATAGATCCATTGTGAATCCTAGGGGCATTGTAGAGGGCCTGATAGTCGCAGTGGAGTCATTTTCATATACTGTTGATTTTGTTATTCTTGATATAAATGAGGATATGGATGTGCCTTTAATACTGGGTAGACCTTTTCTCGCCACCGCCAAGGCACTTATTGATGTGAATGATGGAAAGTTGATTTTGATGGCTGGGGGTGAGCAAATCACCTTCTCTGTTTCTGATAATATGAAAACCCCCAGCTCCATGATGATCTAGACTACTGCGATGTTATTGCTAATTTTGAGACCGCGCTTGCCATCACGAGTGAGGATACTGACGATTTCCTCGAGCGTTGTCTTTTTCTAGGGAAACAGGCATCACAAGAGTTGCAGCTGGAGGAGCAGCTCAAGGAGCTAGACGAAGTTGCGATCGAGGGGCGAGAGAAACCATTTAAGCCGATCCCTATCTCGCCCCGGATCGCCACATCATTGGAGGAGCCACCAGAGCTGGAGCTTGAACCCCTCCCCTCTCACCTGGAGTATGCATTTCTCTGGGAGGGGAATAAGCTCTCGGTCATTATCATCTCGGATCTGACACCCGAGCAGAAGAGCAGACTGGTGGCTCTACTGCGGAAGTATGCCCGGGCCATGGCATGGAAGATAACAGACATTAGAGGCATTAGCCATCCTTCTGCTCCCACAGAATTCTGATGGAGGATGAGGTTAAGCCAGTCAGGCAGCCACAGCAAAGATTGACTCCTAACTTGGAGGCAGTTGTCCGGGCAGAGATTGTGAAGTTGATGGATGCATGAATCATCTTTTCTTTATCTGATAGCAAGTGGGTCAGTCCCACTCAGGTGCTTTCGAAGAAAGGCGGGATGACTGTGGTCCCGAATGCGAAGAACGAGCTGATCCCAATGCGGACCGTGACTGGCTGGAGAGTCTGCATCGATTACAGGCGCCTGAACGACGCCACCAGGAAGGACCATTTTCCCCTACATTTCATTGATCAGATGCTAGAGAGGTTGGCTGGCCATGAGTTCTATTGCTTCTTGGATGTCATGTCTGGCTACTTCCAGATTACGATCGAGCTAGAGGATCAGGAAAAGACCACATTCACTTGCCCCTTCGCTACTTTTGCTTACCGTAGGATTCCATTCGGGCTCTGTAATGCACCAGCGACCTTCCAGAGATGCATGCTGGCGATCTTCGACCGACTGGTTGGAGAGATCATGGAAGTCTTCATGGACGACTTCTCGATTCACTCATTGTCTCCATAACCTGGAACTAGTCCTGAAGAGGTGCGAGGAGACTAATCTAGCACTCAGCTGGGAGAAGTGCCATTTTATGGTTCGTGAGGGGATTGTGCTCGGGCACAAGATCTCCAAGCAGGGGATTGAGGTAGATCGCGTGAAGATAGAGACGATCAGTAAGCTACCTCCTCCCATTTCTATGAAGGGGATCCGCAACTTTCTGGGTCATGCAGGTTTCTACAGGCGCTTCATCAAGGATTTCTCAAAGATTGCCCTACCTCTGACCAAGATGCTTAAGAAGGATGCACCATTCCATTTCACTCCAGCATGCACGGCTGCATTCGAGACATTGAAGGAGAAGCTTACCCATGCACCCATCATGGTGACTCCTGACTGGTCTCTTCCCTTTGAGTTGATGTGCGATACGAATGACTATGCAGTCAGGGCTGTTATGGGTCAGAGACGAGAGAAGCACTTCCAGCCCATCTACTACACGTCGAAGACCTTGAACGATGCACATGAGAATTACACCACCACTGAGAAGGAGCTGCTCGTTGTGGTGTATGCATTTGACAAGTTCCAACCATATATGGTGCTCTCCCATGTGGTGGTCTACACAGACCACTCCGCGATTCGCTACCTGATGAGCAAGGCTGATGCAAAGCCTAGGCTCATCCGCTGGATCCTCCTTCTGTAGGAATTTGATATCGAGATCCGAGATAAGAAGGGAGTCGAAAATGTTGCTGCGGATCATCTTTCACGGTTAGAAGCCCCTCTGGTGGACAACTTCGTGGAAGAGATCAACGACTCCTTCCCTGGTGAGCGATTGGTAGCAATGACCTTGGTAGAGAGCGTGGCCCCTTGGTATTTTGACTTTGCCAATTATCTGGTGGGAAAGCAGCTACCGAAGGGGATGGCCCCTCATGCAGAGTGCAAGTTCTTCTTCGACCTGAAGCATTACTTCTGGGAGGATCCTTACCTCTTCATGATCGGAGCAGATGGTGTGATCCGGCGCTGCGTCATGGAGAACGAGATGGGAGACATCCTGTCTCAATGCAATGAGGGACCAACTGGCAGTCACCATGGAGGGAACCGCACGGCGCGGAAGGTGCTATAGTCGGGCTTCTACTGGCCCTCACTCTTCAAGGATGCAGACACCTTCGCACTGCAGTGCAACCGCTGCCAGAGGTCAGGTAACATTTCCTCCCGAGATGAGATGCCCTAACATATATCTGTTGTTTGTGAAATTTTTGATGTTTGGGGCATCGATTTTATGGGCCCATTACCTCCATCTTTTTGCGATTTGTACATAATTGTTGCGGTAGACTACGTCTCGAGGTGGGCAGAAGCTCAAGCCATGCCCACCAATAATGCAAGACGGGTCTACTCATTTCTAAAACAGTTGTTCTCTCGGTTCGGGACACCTCGCGCCATCATAAGTGATATAGGAACCCATTTTCAAGGGCAATTCACTAAGCTCCTCTCTCGCTATGGTATTAAGCATCAAGTGTCGGTGGCTTACCATCCCCAAACAAATGGTCAAGCCGAGCTGACGAACCGGGAGCTTAAAATAATAATTGAAAAGATGGTGGATCAGTCCCGCAAGGATTGGTCCACCAAGCTCGATTATGCTCTCTAGGCATATAGGGCAGCCTACAAAAACCCGATTGGTACTTTACCCTATAGGCTTGTCTATGGGAAGGCGTATCATTTGCCAGTAGAGATAGAGCACAAGGCCTTTTGGGCCCTTAAGTTGCTAAATCTGGATTTGAGTGTTGCAGGTACTGAACGTAAGCTGCAACTGCTGGAGTTGGAGGAGTGGCGTTACCACGCCTATGAGAACACCCTTCTCTACAAGGAGCGAACCAAGCGTCTCCACGACGCTCGGTTGAAGGGTCCAAAGGAGTTTCAGGTAGGTGATCGTGTTCTACTCCTTATTGCACGCCTTAAACTCTTTCCGGGCAAACTGCGTTTGAGGTGGTTGGGACCCTTCGCGGTCACCCAAGTGTTCCCGCACGGTGCGGTGTAGATTAGCAATGTCAAACTGAGTCGTTCAAAGTGAACGGCCACCTCTCAAAATTGTATTTGGGGGGTGAGTTCGAGCGCCCAGAGCTGCTGATCAAGCTCGGGGACCCTTAGTTCCTCTACTGGCGTCCAGCTAAAGGACGGTAAAGAAGCACTTGTGTGGAGGCAACCCCACCTAGGTTTGCATTTCCTTTCCTTTTCCTTTTAATTTTTGTGTTTTTAGTCATGAGGTGTTGTCAAAGGTTCGGATGTCGATTTTGCGCGAAAACTCGTCGAATCCAGGGCACTGGAATTTCACACGGCCAGGCCTAAATTTTGCACGGCCGCGTGGAATTCCCCTTTGGCCGTGTGAAGCTCCTGAAATTTCCACACGGACAGAAGGGGTCCATCACACGACCGTGTGAAAAACTCGGCCAGCCCGTGTGGATTTCTCGGCGCCACACGGGCAAAATTCGCTCCACACGGCCGTGTGGGTATGCCCGTGTGGCGACCCACGCGACTATAAAAGCTATCGCGCGGCCTTGTGCGGCCAGAAATCCACATCTCCTCACCGGAAAACTCTCCACTCGCCGAAAAACCTCGACTTTTCGCGCTTTTGGCAAATTTTCAGATTTTTTGGTCAGTTTTTCACCAAACCAACACCATACCCAATCTTCCCTCCTCCTTTTCGGCCTTTCCCTTGGTTTTGGGGCGATTTGGGTCATCATAGGCGATTTCCGACGGGACTCCGGCGAGGTTCTGACGAGCAATTTCCTGGAAGAATTTTTGGTTTTTGTCGCTTCCATTGCCTTCCCCTTATCATCCACTACACCTCTACTTGTGTCTCCAGGTTTGATTTTGCCCTTTACCTTGTGAATTGTGGAGAATTGGGTGTTCGGGTGTGTATTTAGAGAACCTCATTGAAACATGTGATTTGATTGCAATTGATTGAGGGGAAGGCTTGGTTTATTTGTGAGATGTGTTGGGAAATGTTTCCCTT